CAGGAATTCTGGGAGCTGAAGTCCACAAGTCTTAAACTTGCCAAGTTGGAAGACCCTTGGTCTAGCATCTCCAAGATAGACCTGGAAAACTCCCATCTGGAAGTTGGTGGCCTTTCAAATCTTTCCACCACCACGTCAGAAAAGGTCCTCTGGAGTTTTTCTATAACAGGTCCATCACAATTCACAAGTGTGTTCTCTAAGAAGGACCTGGTGAATTGGAAGAAGCCAAAGCTGCTTTGAGATACCTCTGTGGGTCTCCGGTGGCCTGTCCTGTCACGAATGGGTGAGGCAGAAGAGCTTGATAATATGTTTTTTCTTTTACTTCTCTGGTGGGCTAATTCTGCTGTTTTTTAAGATATTGGTCACACCTAGCCAAGCACTATCTGTGACAATTAACCTAGAGATCAGTGATGGGATTCACAAATTTTTTTACTACCGGTTCTGTGTCCGTGGCTTGGGTGTGGTGTGGCTTGGTAAGCATGGCAGGGGAAGGATACTGCAAAATACCATTCCCTCCCCACCCCACTAACCTACTTTCCAGCTCCGTTCTCCTGTGCGGGGCAACCAAAGAAGACCCAGCTGACCAGCTGGGACTCAGGAGGCAGAGAATAGATAGTGGCAGGGCCAGTCAGAGGTGGCATTGGCAGGTTCTTCGAACTACTCAAAATTTTCACTACCGGTTCTCCAGAACTGGTCAGAACCTGCTGAATACCACCTCTGCTAGCGATGCCATTTGGAAAATGGTTGGTTTTAATTTGACCTCCTTACACCACAGTTAACCTTCTTTCTCCTCTCCTTTTGATTTTTTTTTTTTAAATATATTAATTTTGTTGTTGTTGATCAACCCAGCAGGCTGGTGTATGTTGCGAATTTTGGAAGGAGTGGGGTTTAAATCATTGTTTCATTGCTTATAGTATCTTGTCAGGCTGTTGTTTTATAATTATGTCAAACTTGAGCAGGGAGGGAGGAAAGCAACAAAAGAGTTTGGATTTCTCTTAGTTTCTCGCTCGTTGCGTTCCTTCCAACTTTTTTTTCGGGGGGGGGGGGGGGTGTTTCAACGCTCACCCATCCATCTGGGATCCAAGAACCAAGATTCAGCGAAACATCAGAATGGCATCCCCAACCCGAGCCGTGAAGCCAGCCGGCCAGGAAGAGAGTCCAGCTGGCTTCTGTTCTCCTTCCACGCACGGTGCCAAATCCATAGACTTGTTTTGGGCTTGGTTGGTTCTGCAAAAAAAAACTCTGGAGGGATGATGAAACACACACACACACCCTCCAATTTTGCAAAAAAAATAATAAAATGGCAATGAGGCCATGAGAGTATAATTCATTTCCAATGAAGAATTTTACAATGTCATCGTTACAGACAAAGCATCCTTCTATCTCGGTGCAAAATTAGCATGCTTCTCAATCCCCCAGCGCCTTCAGAAAATTTAATCCCCTCTTTTTTTTTTTAATTAACACTTTTTAAAATAGTTTGGGTCGCCACGGAGATCCACGCTCAAATGGCTTGCTTGCTTGCTTGCTTGTTGTTTTTTTTTTTTTAATGATGCTTCTTTCTGCCGTTCAATCTTCCCCTTTGGAAAAAAAAAATAAAAGTTTTAAAAGGAAATTTAAAAAAAAAAAATAACTTGATCGAGGCAGCTGGCCTGCACTCTGGTTGTGAACCTCTGGAAGGTATTTCCTCCCATCCCGCTAGGTACGGATCAGGACGCCCCCTCCTGGAGAGGGATCCACTCTGGAGAGCAGATTTCTCCTTCACGTGATCTCAGGAGTTGTTAGAAGAAAACGCCATTTCCCTCTAAGCAACCCTTAAAGTTGGCTGGTTTTACTTGTTTCTCAGCTCCGTAGACGGAGTTGGTCTCTTAAAGGCACAATGATTTCTCTGACACCCAAACTTTGTGGCTGTCCAGTTCTTTCCCCTCAATAAAAATAAATAAATCTGATTTTTCCACCTAAGCCAACTTCAAAATTGCATAACCTTCCCTCTTCCCTCGCCAGCTTCTAAGGACAAAGATCCTTTTGCCCCGACTCCCAAAATCAAACGAACTTGGAATGTAAAAGAATAAAGTTGAAACCCTTCACCGTTTGCTTTTAAGAAGTGACGTTTTCTTAGTTTGCAGTTGCTTTTTTAAGCCCATATTTTTCAGGGGGTTGTTAAAGGAAAAAGAGAGAAGAGATTGCGTTTTATTTTCTTGGAAAGCAAATGAAACTTTTTAAAAGAGATTCAAAAGGCACGCGCGATTTATATTCAGATATTTCTATAGCAGGAAAGATATTTTTTGGAAGAGAGAGAAAGAAAACAAACAAGGACTATGCAAAATTTAAGGTAGAGAACTGCCAGAAGAGAGAGTTTTGATGTGTTCTGAACTTTGAAATCTGAAAAGTAGATTAAAATTGAAATCCTTAAAAAGCATTTATAGAAAAGATTTTTTTTATATAATTTTTTTCCTTCCACCCACCCCTGCTGCTCCATTTCCAAATATATTTTCAAAAAGTGTTGGGCCCGGAGAAGAATCAGTCATAGAGCTGCATATTCTCCTGTGTTAACTCCTAGTATTTATCATTTTTGTATTGAATGCTGTGCTGTCTTCGATTCAGAGTCTTGTTTTGTATTCTCTGTTACCTGGTTCCTGATGTAGAGAAGCCACAGTTATAAAAGAAGAAGAAAAATCACTATAAAATCAAATGTAATGGTTTTGGGGGTGGGAAATAAAGATTGGGTTTTCTTTGGTACATCACAATGAGCGTCCGTGCTGTTCTTTTCGTTTTTGCTGTCAAAATCTTGACACAAACACACAAAGCTGTTCTCAAACCCTGGAGATTAAATGGATGCAATCGGGTGGGCTTCAAATTTTTTAGCAAGGGGCTCTCTGCCCTAATGACTGGCTGGGTGGGCATGTCTAGGTGGTCATGTGACTGGGTATATGTGGCCTAATTACCTTAAAAAAGATAATACACCAAAAAACATTTATTAAATACTTAAATAAAAGACGGGGTGAAATCAGGCTTAATAGCAGTGACTGTGAGAGGGATCTTGGGAGTCTTAGTGGAGTTTCTGGTGAATGACATGATTCTTATTATTTGAGAATTAATCCCCTCGGAGGCTAGTGGCTAGGTGATCTGATTTTCTCCATGGCTCTCCCTTGCAAGCGCTGAGTGAATTGCTTATCTAGCTTGCCACACTTTTACAAGGTGTGAAATGCTCTTGGCTGAACACCCAGAACTTCAATTAAGCCTATTAAGAGCTTTCCCTTGCTGTTTTTCTGAAGTTATTGGGGGCTCTCCAAGCCCCCAGCAGTCCACCCCTGGCATGCAATCAACAATTAAGTTTGTTTTCCTGACATTATATAATTGCTCAGAGTCACCTTGAACCACAAAATGAACGGCATATAAATTCCAAAAATAAATCTGGAAATGGTTTGCTGTTGCCATCTTTGTTTTGTTTACCTGACTTAGTATCTCTCCTGACGGTATCCCATCCAGTAATGTATGTATCACATCCACTTCTATATATTCTGACATTATTTTCATCAGGATTTTGGATAATCCTCTTGGATTAACACTAATTCCTTGCCCAAAAAGACCGACAAACCTATTGACTCAAACATCAACATTCTGTCCTTACATCTACAAAGGCATAGCAGGTGAGGAGGAGGAATCAAGTTTCAAATCACCTGCCGGCTACTAAGTTATTTCAGTTTAAGTTAGAGAAGGCTGTCCTAATCTCTTCTGAGAATTGCGAGCAAGTAACACAATTAAGTATCAGGATTAAGCAAGGATAAATAATGGGAAGCCACAGTCAATCCGTTGTGAATTGCCAGATCAAAACGAAAAGCCCGTTCTCATTGAAATATCTCCATGAAATTAAAATGCAGACCCTGCAAAGTGAAAAACAAAATCCATACACTGAACTAGAAAGCAGAAATGTTTTCATATTGGCTTTTTTTTTTTTTTTTAATGATCCGGGTAAATCAATCATGGCAAACCGAAGATAGGTAGATCCAGTTCCAGAATTCTGGGAGTTAAATATTGCCAAAGTTGTGAAACTTAGATATTTGACCCAGGGCAAAAGGAATTAGATAAATTTTTACAACTATGGTACAAAGCAACGTTCATCACAGAAAAGGGAACATATATATTTTATAAAAATGTGCAATGGTTAGGTGTTTGCCCAAATGTGTATTATTTTTTTGCTTTGCAGAGAAAGGTGCAGCGAATTGCACACGTATGAAATGCACCCCTGTATACACCCAAGACCCTGGATACATGATATCACCTAGTGGTGTTTTTGAAAAAAAACAATAAATTTTGGGGAGTTTGGAAAGCCGTGAACGTCTGCAGCCCGAATTTCCAAAAAATGCCATGGTCAAAATAAGATGACAGTGTAGTGTGAGAATATTTGAATATACTCCCCAAATTTCAATGCAAATTTCAATTCACTGGGAGAAAAAAAAGGGGAAAACGGGAGAAAAAAAAGGAAATTCAAGAATCCATATTAAAATAGCAACTGTTCCATTTTGGAGACTATGACAACATTTCCTCTTAAGAGCACTGTGCAAAACTACTTTTTTATATATATAAATAAACTTTTATTAAACAAATTCTACAATTAAAAACAATTAAAAATGTATTTCCATTCATTGCAGCACACACACAAAAATTGTGACCTTCACCCACTAAATATCCAGACAGTTGGAAAAACTGCATTGCTTTTTCCCCATGCCTGCCTTCCCCACCAAAAAAAAAAAAAAAAAATAAAAAATAAAAAAAATTAAAATAAAGCAAGCCCGGAATCATTCCTGATCGCTTCAGTCTTCACTATTGAATAAGTCTTTGATTGCCCGGGGATTTATTTTATTTTTTTTCCTCAATGTTTCAGGAAGTCCCAACTGGCTACGTGGGGTACCCCTCTAGCACTTTTCTCTGGGCTAAACTCTACTGTCCGTGGGAACTTTCGCACGCCTTCTCCGCTCCTGATTGGCCAGCGTGGCCGGAAGGAGTCAATCCCTTAGTCAGATCGCAGAGCCAAGTTGCAGAAAAGAGAATTGGGGTTGGCGGATTGCAATGGTGAGGCACACTTTTTTTCCTTTGATTTTTGCAAAGGGGACAGCCGGGTTGCTACCTTTTTGCAAAACAATTGCAAAAGGCACAGGGGGGAGGAGAAGAAAAGGAGAAGTTGCAGTGTTCTGTGTTAAAAGTATGCGGTTTGTTTATTGATATTATTATTATTATTTAATATGGAGTTGCCTGTTTCGATTTGGCTACACTGTCTCCAGTTGTGTCGCCTTCGGAGAGCCAAAAGGTTGCAAAAACCCTCGCCGGATGGCGAGGTTTACTTTTATTTTGTGCGTTTTTGTTTATTGGCTTTGCAGAAATTTGAAGCCATAACCTTGTAGAAAAACACTGTTTACTCCCCTCTTATATTAAATAAAAATGAGTCCTGCTTACTAAATAGAACTTCCTTTTCTATTTTGGGATGAAATAAACATTTATTCTGCTTTTTGTGTGTGTGTGTGTGTTGTGCTGTTTTCAGGCCACGGTGAGTGACCAATTCGTTGGGTATGGCTTGGTGATCTTCAGCTTGGTTCTCTTCGCCTATTACACCGTCTGGATCATTATCCTGGTACGTCCTGAGTTTTCTCCAGCATTTGATTGAGTGTGTGCCATCAAGTTGTTTTTGTTTCCATCCCAACAACAAAATGATTAATTGCTTTATTTCCCTTTGCATGTCTTTTCAAGTCTCCCCACAACGCCCCCATCCCCATTGGAACGAAATCCATCCATCAGCCTTGTGGTGGTTGTTCTCTTCTTCTCTTTCCTTCTTCCACTTTTCCGTGTATTACAGCCCTTTCCAAGTAACCTCAAGTTTACTGTGTGTCTATGGATAGATGATAGGTAGGTAGGTAGGTAGATTTTATTTTATATTGTCAAACGCTTACAATATAAAATAAGAATGAACATGCGTTTAAATATAAGAAATAGGAACTAATAATTGGAGACAATAGGACAGGGACGGTAGGCACGATTGTATGCTTATGCGTGCCCCTTACAGACCTCTTAGGAATGGGGTGAGGTCAATAGAGGTTAGTTTGAGGGTAAAGGAGTGGGGGTTTGAGCAGGTGACAACAGAGTCAGGTAGTGAGTTCCAGACATTGACCGCTCTATTGCTGAAATCTTACTTCCTGCAATTGAGTTTGGCGTGGTTTACATTAAGTTTATAACTCTTGTGTGCTCTTGTGTTGCTGTGGTTAAAGCTGAAATATTCATTAACTGGTAAGACGTTGTAACATATGATAGAGATAGATAGATGGATGGGTGGATGGATGGATGGATAGATAGATGATAGATAGATAGATAGATAGATAGATAGATAGATAGATAGATAGATAGATAGATAGATAG